ACCCCCCAAAACGACCCTCACACGGTGAACCAATCCCCCCCAGCCCACCCCCCCCTAACGACCCCCCCCCTGCCCCAAATTTTTTATTTTTTTTTTTTCACGTATTCAACACCTCCACACAGACCCCCCAGTGGCGAAAACGCCCCTCCAACCCCCCCCAAAAAATTATTAAACCCCCACCCCTCATCACAGTCATCACCCCAATGGGGAAAAAAAATGTTTTTTTTTTTTTTTTTTCTGCAGATGGACTCCCCACGACACCCGACACCCACCCACCCGAAAACCGCAGTCGGCCCCCCCCCGAAAACACCGCGAACGGACGTACGGAAGTCCGTACGTACGGCCCGTACGGGCTCTCGGGGGTCCGTACGTATGGTTGTACGAAAGTACGTACGACCCGTATACGTACGGGCGTACACACAGATTGCTGCCCATTGCTCCTCTGAGTCAAACCAGTCTCTTGTGTGCTGCCATTCTCTCCAGTGGGTTGCAACCCACTGCAGGAAGTCTTGTGAGGTAAGATGATCCGAATTGAATCTGAAGATACCTGGGCCTCGCTGAAGCTGGCCGTCCAATAGGAAATCAGCAGCAACAGGCCTGTGGTCTGAACCGGGGGTAATCATGACATCGGCTGATGTCATCGATTCCCATGCAGCTCCCTTGGTGAGTATCAGGTCCAGTCTTCTCTTCAAAGGGGGGCAGTCCCCGGTTCTCTGTGAGGAGCACCAAGTGTATCCGTGGTCCTGCGGGTGGGTGTGCCTGTAAGCATCTGCGAAATAGTTAACCTCTATGAAGTTCAACAACATTTGAGCGTCAAGTTTCCGAGGAAAGAAGCCGGGGAGTCCAAACCTGGTTGAAGAACCAGGTTGAAGTCTCCTGCCAGGACAATATTCTGCGCTGGAGGGACTAGGTAGGGGAGTTCTTCCAAAAAGTCCCTTCTCTCCGCACTCAGAGGGAGCATAAACAGACATAAAGACCCACTGTTGCGTTCCCAATTGGACCTGTATCCAGGCCCAGGGTCCCCACAGGTCGGCTTCCAATGCTAGAACTTCCAGCTGCAGATTGCGATGTAGGAGTATCGCTACCCCCCCACGAGTACCTTGGGAGGGGGACCAAATTTGATCCCCTTTCCACCAGTTGCTGATTTGGCGTAGCTTTGAGTCGTCCAGCTTGGTCTCTTGCAACATCAGGATCTGGATTGCGTTGTCGTGCGCCCATGTCTTAAGTCTGGCTTTTCGATGATGATCCGATGTGTCCCCTAGGCCACGGACGTTCCAAGTGGCTATTCTAAGTCTGTCCATTGTCTTGGTGAGGAACGGCAGCAGGTTGGATCCGCTGTTGGTGGTCATCGTTTGCCGGGTGTAACGCACGGCCCCTACGCGTCTGCTCTGCATCTGCAGGTGTCACCCAGGGAGCAAGGAGCAAGTTACGAAAGCCCGGAGCGTGCGGTTGCTTGTCCGTCGCCAAGGTGGAACAGAAATAAGCGACCAGGGTAGCGTCCACATCGTCCGTTAACCAGGCTTCCTTAAGCTCTTCAGTATTTCTGTCAGCAAGCCATATAGAGGGCAGCCAGACTACACGTTGAGTGGCGAGTAGGGCTGCTGGGTCCAGGGATATTTTTGCATCCAAGGTCCCAATGTAAAAGTGCCAGCTGCCCCCTGAGGGTGCGGCGACCGACTTGCGGCCGATCCGGATTCCAAGAACTAGGCGAAAGGCAATCCGGTCCGCTATGAATGAGGAAGCTACTGCTTTTATGGCATCCTTAGTAGTGGGTAGGGTAGCAGTCTCGATCGTGGGGATGGCTAAAATGCCTTTGTCAGTTCGTTTGGCCATTAATTTAGTTCCCTGGGGGGTTAGCATGAAAATCATCAGCACCATCTGGTGTCTGATGGAAGAACTAGCTAACCTGATGACAGATGGATGAGAGTGAAGCTGGCTGGATTGAGCCTTGCCTGAAGTGTTACCTGCAAAATGATGGTGCCAGAGAGGGTGAGGAGTGGGGCTTGGTCATTACTATGAAGTCTAGCTCCTCCTCTTCAGCCTCAAGGGTGACCTCCCCCTGCCCATCTTGATTGATCCGTCTTTGTGTCATTGGAGTGCGGACTGTTTGCCTCTGGTCTCGCATCAGAGCGTCTGGGCGGGGGTGGTCATCGAGTAGCAATCTGCAGCAATTCTGCGAGAGTTCACAGTTCCTGTGGTATCCCGCCTGAGTACCGGGGGTGTGGACGATCCGAAGGGGGGGTGTGAACCTTGTGCAATGAGAAGTGGGTGTGATGGGTTGGGATTGAAGTGAGGGTTGTTGTAGGTAAGGAATTGATGTTGGGGGTTGACGGTGGGGTCGTTGAATGTGGGGTCTGGGCTTGTGCGGAGGAGTAGAACAACGAGGATGGGTGTTGGCTGAATGTGGGACAGTGTTGAGCGTAAAGGTGGGGGGGTGTGACGAACCGCTTTCTGTAATGCGCGATTTTGTGCGCGGTTGCAATGAGGGGTCCTAAGTTGGGAAGGTTGGGCTAATTACGGGAGATCGGGATCGGTGGGAAATTGCATCGGTGTCCTTGCTTTTTC